GAGCGCGCGAGGCCGCGGGGCGCACGGGAGCCGCGGGGCCCGGGTCATCGCGCGGAGCCCGCCGGCCGCATGACCTCGGAGCCCCGCGGGCCGCGGGCGGTCGAGTCCGGGCTCCTGGGGGCGCGGCCGGGAGCAGCGCCGAGCCTGCAATGAACGGAGAGGGATGACTGAGTCAGGCCGGGTGCTGCCCTCCCTCCACGGACGCCGCCCGCACGGACCCGCGGACGGGAGGGCGACGCGGCGAACGCGCCTTGAGTGTTCACAAACAAGATAGAGGTGCAAGTGTGATGTTCAGTGCAAAGCACGGCAGTAGCGAAAACGCCACAAAGATCCAAGACTATTTTTCAACTGATACCTAGAATCCTTTAATTAGATTCAGAGGCAGAGCGTTAAGATTTGGCCAAATCGGAACTGCAACTCAGAAATAACTTAGGACAGTTAATAGGTGATTTTTTTAAATGTATAGTTATAGCTATCGCACATCATTTTTACAAAGTCGTGCATTAACTAATGGAGCAGAAGCACCACCTATTAAGATTCAAATTCAGAAACATAATCTAATACTACAAACTTTCCTTCGCAATATGCTTCATTATTTTACATTCAATGTTCGTTATCATATGAAGCCATGAATCTATATAACTTGAAAGCAATTTATCCAATCACGAACACACTCACAAAACAAATCCAACTAGTTTTTATTCTTTTTTTATTTCCCGACAGTCAGCTGAAAAAAATAAAAGAATCTCTAGTTCAGTTTTCCACATAATTAAAACAAGAAGAAACTCTCAAGCCGCCTTAACTTACACAGCGGGCCCCATGCCTGGCGCTGGGAGGAATGGCGAGGCTGTCCTGTCCCTAGGGCAGAGGGCTTGCGGGGCTGAGCACCTGAGCACAAGTACTTCGTGGTCAAGAGTGTTCCACATTGCTGACATTCAGCTCAGCCTCAGAAGCACCCTTGACAACTACCGATGGCCACAGCCAAATGGTTACCTGTAAAGTGGCCACTGCACCGTTTTCAGACATGTAAGTTTTTTTAAAAATATGGTTAAATATAAACTTTAATTTTAAATTCTGAAGGGAAAATAATGCTGTACAGAATCAGCTTTCAAAAGAACGTTCCACTTATTTCTAACCCGCGGGAGCCCTCTAGTGTCCCATTTGCAAACGGACTCAGAAAGGACTGAGCGCTCCCTTGGCCCCTGAGGGTTAAACGCCTTGCAAACGGGAATTCCGGACCCTTTTGTCCACCCCACGAACCCGGGAAGACAGGAACCTGGCTTCCGAGAACTCCACTCACCCAGCAGTCCTGTCCCCTCGCTGAATGGCACCTGTCTTGCAACAGTTCCAGGGGAGAAAGGCCTAGAGTGTCAGAAAATCCTAAGAAAGGGCTATTACGAGTGAAGAAAAAATAGAGCAGTGAGATAAATATTCAGAGATAGGGAGGAGCATTTATAGTGCTGGCTGCCTTGAGCGGAGCACGTGAAGAGGCCCAGCCTCCCTCATGGGAGGCTTTTTAAAGACAGGTTAGAGATTGGCCTAGGGTGTCTGCGTGTCCTGGCACACGGCCTGAGCTGGTGACCTCAGGGTCTCCTGCAGGCTGAATCTGTTTCTATGACAAACAGCCAAAGGCAGGCAGGCAAGAAGGCACAAGGAGACAGGGACTTTTTCAAAGGAGGTTGTGATGCTGGGGGTGGTTAGGAAGTCAGAGTACAGTGTGTAATCCTAAAAATACTACGGTTTGCGAAGAAAAAACCAGGATATATAGAAGGAGAGAAACTTGCAAGTGGTAAAATGCCAAAAACTATAATAGGGATGTTATTTTAGCACTCTTAAACTCAGACCTTTCTTGCTATTTAAAAGTTGAGGCACACAGTGGAAATTAAAAAGCAGTTCCAACATGGATGAGGCCTGGAAGTACCTGTTCGTTAGGGCTAAAGTTTGAAGGAATTCAGCCTTCAAAGCAGTTATTCTTGCACTCCAGAACTCTTAAGAGTCGCACTTCCATAAGCCCAGAATTATTTTCTAAAGAGTAAATAGGAACATCTTGGAAGGAGACCATGGCAGAGCTGCTTTTGATAACTCTTATGATTTTCACGTATTCAAAAGGCTAACTGGCCAGGGTTTTTACAAACTGAGGCCAACGGCTAGGGGTTAATAGAACATTTACCTAACATGTTCAGCCACCAACATGGGAAAAACAAAATGGATTGTCTTTGGCAGAGGCCGAATTATGATAAGCAGAAGCTTCCTTCGGTCCCTTTTAAAGCAACTGTCTTAGTAGAAGAAAAATATGTAGGAATTAGGTAAAGTGTGAGCTGGTAAATTTGGCTGAACCGCCTCCACTCGAAAACACCGCTTCATCAGAAAAAGACCTCCGCACTGTCTCCTCTTACAGCCCCAGCGGGGTCGGGTGATGCGGACAGAATGGGCCCCGCTAAGGGGCAAGCCTGGCTTAGAGCCCTCCTCCTTGATCAGCAGGGGTGGGCCCCTGTGGCAAGTGATCCTGCCTGCCTAAGCCTGTTTCCTCATCGCTAAGAGAAAAATGGCTCATGGCAGTCAGTCGTTGTTAGGGTGTGCATCTGAAATGTCCCCCAAAAGCTGGTGTGCAGAAAGCGTGGTCCCTAGCTGGCTTTATTGAGAAGTGGTGGAAACTGCAGGAGGCCGGCCCAGTGGGAGTAGGCAGGCCACTGGGTTTGCCCTCTGTATGCTCTCCCTCTCCTCCCCTCCCCTCCCCAGCCCCCTACCCTTCTGCTCCAACTCTGTCTTCTCTCTTTCTCCCCACCTCCCCACTCTTTCCTTATCCCTTCATGAGGTGAGCAGCTCTGCCTTCCCACCGCTAACCACCCTAGGATGTTTTGCCTCACCACAGTCCCCTAGCAACCAGCCCAGGTGGCCATGGACTGAACCTTCTGAAACTGAGAGCCAAGATAAATCTTTCCTCCTCTCAGTTGATGTTCCTGTATATCTTACCACAGTGACACAAAACTGACCAAAATGCTCATCCCCTAAGTTTCTTAGGATGAAATGAGAAGAGATGATCTTGGAAGTCAGCAGTGGTTTTGTTTTTATCTATGTCTCAGTCACTTTTCTGTTGCTAGGATGCAATCCCTGACACCCACAAGTTAAAGAAAGAGGTTCGTTTTGGCCCACAGTTCTCGAAGTTTCAGTCCGTGGTCGCCTGGCTCAAACACAGAAACCACATGTTAGGCGCCCAGCAGATGAAAGCTACTGGGTTCTTGGGGCAGGGAAGTGGGAAGAGCCACGGAGAGAGACACGTTCTTCCAGGTTACACCCCAGTTCCACCTCCTAACGGCTCCCTCACCTCTGAGGTCATCTGTGAATTAATCCACGGATCGGTCCATGGTCCAATCACCTTCCAACAGCTCACCTCTGACCACGTCAGACTCCTGGGGACATCTGTATCAAAGTCCTAACAACCTCCTTCCCCCATACACACACCGTTCTGAACTTCTCGGGAGCCCTTCTCCTAGCTCTACGGCACAAAAACAAGGTATCACGGTAGAGTTGGGAAGCAGCACGTAGGATTATTGGCATAGCCAATGTATCAGTAAAACCAATACAGCAGATAAACAGATGTAATCAGAAAACGATTTTGTCATCCCTTCTTCTGCCCGATCAAACCTGTTCTGGAGCCTCGGAATTTGTTTGAACACCCATGGATGAACATTCAAGCAGGCCTCAGCACTTTTCTGGTCATACTGAAGGTTTGGCAAGGACCTCAAGTCGCTGTCAGTAATAGGCCCAGGCACACATACGCATCCATCTGAATTTCCTCTAAGGTTGAGTCATGTCCCCTGGGGTGAGGAATGCAGCTCAGTGGTGGAGGCCTGCCTAGCAGGCGAAAGGCCCTGGGTTCCAGCCCAGCTGCACAAAGGAAAAAGAAAAGTCAAACCTTCCTGAAGAGAGACTCTGGGAGCCTTCCTTCCCTCTGTAGACCTTCTCTTCCTCTCTCCTCGCCCACCCAGCCACCCCACGCTGAGTCCGGGTGGAGCTGTTCCAGGGTTGATGGGTATTGGAGAGAGGAATCGCACCGGAAGAGAAGTTCCTGCCGCCCCTGATAGTGCTGCGAGCTGCTCTTGAGCTCCCTGGGTGTCCGGACAAGGAAAAGGCCCCTCCCTTGGGTCTGCAGTCTTTGCAGCTGGCTATCCCAGTTTCTCAGCCCCTGGGCCAGCCGCCCTCTGTTTTGCTGGGTTTATTTCATCTCTGAGGCAGCGCTGGAAGTGACCACAGCTGGCTTCCCCTCCCAGGCCTGAACGAACTGCACACAGTGGGCCTGCAGAGCTGCGCCTTCCAGCCCCCTGCCTCGCCTGGCCGACCACTCCCGCTCTACACTTCGGAAGCAGGTATTACGTATTGCTCACGAGGGCTACTGGAACCGAGAGAAAGTTGCTTTCTGCTGTCAGCGTGGGACTCAAGAGAAGTTTAGCTTACTTTTAGTAAATAGAAAGCTGAATTCCTTGGATGAATGAATGAATGAATGAAGTTTGAGAACTTGTTGCCACAATATAACTTGCAATAACCTGAGAATGTACATATAGAGTTCAAAATATTAATTAACATTATAATGCCAGAGATACTAATAATCCTCATGCCCAAAGGCTTTTCTTTCCGTGAAAATAATGTACAAGAAAAATGGGTCAAAAAGCAAACAGGGCCAGGGATTTAGCTCAGTGGTTCCGCCACCTGCCTCGCAAGCTAAAGACCCAAGTTCGATCTCCGGTACCAAAAAAAAAAAAGCAGAGAGTTAGACAGTGGTGCAGGCCGTGAGCATTGCCGTGGACCTTTTTGCACATCTACGGGAGGGAATGAGCTGGAGACCACTGAGGCTTTGGCTCCTGGCAACCCTCCAGTGCTTCACTGAGGTGCCAGGGACTACAGTGTGTTTATCTGGGGACAGTGTGTTGAGTTGTCTGCACGTTTGTTGTGCACATTTCCATGTATTTCTTATCCTTCCATAAAGCTGGAAGGGATGATGGGTAAACAGGTATTTGTTTTATATTTGTTTATACCTTGTATTAAACACCTCTGGTAGAAGGGGGTAGGAGAGTAGTGGTTATTTATAGCTTATTTATAATGAAGAGTCTGTCTTACTGTAGTCCCTTAAAAATTAAACTCAAAAGTTAAGTAATAAAATCACTGAAAGTAAACAAAAAATAAGTTCATAATGAATAAGTCTTTAAAAGACACAGACAGTTAAGCCTCATCTTTCCTCACAGAGATTTGGTGTGGTTTATTTGAGTGGAGCCCAGGCATCCACAGTTTTAAAAATGGCTCATGTGCATGGCGGTAATCATTATTCTCAGAGTTAAGTGGCTGGTTTCAGAAGCAAATTAACACCTTCTACACCTCCATGGTAAGGCTTGGATTTCACCGGCAATGAGATCTGCATATCCCTCCGGATCTCCAACAGCAAGATCCATGAGTGGCAGAGCCACTATGCCTTCAGCCCCAACAACCCCAGACCCAGATGCAGCCGAGGGCCTGGCCTTCCACCTACAGCGCTGGCCTTTGTCTCTCTTACTCCTGTCTCCCGTGTCCCTGGTGTCTCTTCCTACTGTAGGCTCAAGACTGCCTACCTCTTAAAGCTGCTGGAGAAGTGAGCCCAATTCCATAAGGACTGCAGGGGCCAAAGATGACGCTCCCCTAGTCGTCACTGACTCTCCTTGTTGCACGAGTTACAGACCCGCAGGAGGACACCAGCATCCTGGCTGGGCCCTGACCAGACCCTTGCACTGCACCCTAACCCTGGCTGGCCATCCCCGTGACCTGCAGGCCCACAGCCCTTCTAGAACCACCAACCAACTCTACTCGGCACTCTGGCCTACTTGCCACATGGTATTTGCTGACCCTTCTGCTCTTTTAAAACCACGCCCAGAGAGCACCAAGCTGCCCTATATCACCAATGAAAAACTCTTAGCCGAATAAGCTCTGAAATTTTGTCATAAAGGTCTAGTTGGTACCAAAGAGTTTGTAAGTTTTTAAGTCATACCCCATATTTTATCTGTCTTTATACTGCATGCAAAAGAGGTGACATGTATTGTGCTATGATTTATGAAAACATCTCTACATGCACAGGACAACACGATTGCTGGACCCTGAAGACATCTTAGCTGGTGACCTACAAACATCTGCTTGCAGGATCTTCTTGGAGCAAGCCTTAGACATCCAGGAAGTAGCAGGAGCCCCAAGGTTCAGTTTCTCAAGAGCACCAAGTAGGTGCACGGCAGGGGAAGCAATGCCTTGTGTTTCACACACAGGGTATCTTCTCCTCTATCTACTATTAAACCTGGTTAAGAGCAAAATGAGGCTCCTTGCCTTTCCCCGGTACTAAAATCCCCTGCAATGATCCACTTGTCCTTGTTGCCTTAGGAATGTTTGCCCCATTGCTTTAAAGTTGTGCTGTGTCAGGCTGGTTCCACGGGAGGACCAGAAATGAGCAGTGTTCGTGGGAACAGACAAGCATGTAACAAACAGATAAGATGTGTAGTGGCCAATTTGATTTATATATGAAATGTCAGGTGTTTTAAGGTTATTTCACCTTTTAATAATTAGATGAGTTACAATATTACAGCAATGGACACTGGTTTCATAGTGAAGCCCTAATAATGCAGAGTCATCCCAGGAATTAAGTAAATTGGAAGGAACCCCGAGTTTCTGTGAGAGTCCTCAGACAATCCTGACATCTATGTCTCTACATTCACAGAGGAGTAAAGATTGGATGAAGCGGTTTCAGTCCTTGGGCTGTTTGCAGAAACTAATGCAAAGCCACAAATTATTTCTTCTCTCCTCACCCACGTAGCCTATGTAAAAGAAAATAAGCTATAGCATCACATCTAAAGGGAGGCAGGCCCCCTGGCTATGCTAGATGAAACTTGGCACATTAGAAATGCATTGGAGTTATAAATAAGCACCTTAAAGTGCAGGGGAAGAAGATGAGAAAAGTTTGAATCATTTACTCATCTGTATCTAGTAGTTGCTTCACCCGCTATGACTCAGGCACATGTGGCCTGTCTGATAACGGCTTGACTGGGACACTGCATGCACATGGTTTAGGAACTGACGACCTGGATCAGAACAGAGCAGAGGGTCAGTACTACACCCTCTGCCATCCTCCCATTCCCACCTCCCAGCCGAGCAGACTGCAGGGCCAGGACTTGTGTACGACACTGTGACAGTGAGGGAGACACTTTCTTAAGTTACCCTGGGAGTTGCAGAGGCCCCAGCAACCACAACGGACTCTGGGTTTCAGGGGAGGAAGCAGAATGCAGAGCCAGGGAGTATCTCATTGTGTCCACCACTGCCTGGCCCTTCCAGCACTGGCTACTTTGGAGCGTGCTGGGCAGCACCACCAGTGTGGCCCTCATGGTCCTAAAGAGGGCAGTGGTGGTGGCAGGCACGCTGTAGCAAGGTGCCCCTTGTGACTACCCACACAAACATCCTCGAGTGAGGCTTGTGCCTGGTAACCAGAAGCAGAGAGGTGACAGGCGTATGAATGACAAGCCTGGCGTCCCTGAAATAGTTGAGTGCTAAATTTAATGGCTGGATGTCTCATTTGATCCAGCAGAGGGGGCAGCCAGTGTAATCTGAGTCTAGTGAGCTTTGGAGTAACATAGGTTGCATAGTTAGGTTACATTTAGCAAAGACAATACTGGTCACTTAAGCCAGGTTCTGTAAACAGCATGCAATGTCTAAGGCATTGCTTGGCTTGGTAAATATTGAGTGAAGAGTCAATGAATGAATGAATGAATGAAAAATATTAAGATCATAAAGCACAATCCATACACCAATGTTTTTCAAAGTGCTCCCTAGGCCAGTAGCAGCAAGCTCAGCTGAGAATTTATAGAAATGCAAACCCAGCGCTACTGAATTAGAAGCCCTGGAAGGAAAACTGTAATCTGTACTGTAACAAATACTCCTCAGGATCAAAAGTTTGAGAAACATTATGGAGGATGAGAACCCCCAAGAGAATGGACCAGGCCAAAAGGAAGATATGGAGATAGCAGAAGAGGACAGATAGAGTCACAAGCTGTGAGAAGATTCAAACCTACACTTGCAACTTATCTATGGTTGTTCTACACTTCCGCCCTCTCTGGGGGAGCTCCATTTCCTTCCTGACCTCTCAGCCACTCATTGTCAAACACAGAATGTGTTATCATCAAAGACCCTTCCCAGCCTTACAGATTCAGGATGCTTTCACAAAGCAAAGTCATAGCAGACAAATATGAGAAAAGAAGGAATTAGAGAGATCGGAATTTACCGTGGGTGGAGTGAGAACTAGGAGGACTATGGCAGGGTGTGGAGGGACTATTAAGGAAAACTGCCAGGAGAAAATGGTCCTTTTCAGGCCATCACCAGTCATGCACCCATAAAGATGCCTTTTATAGTAAAATCTCACTGTTTTCCAAAAGGCAGTCATCAGGTTCCCATGGGCACCTAATGTACAGCATAGCCAAAAATTATAAACATAAAAGCTTTTGGTGAGAAGCCTGGAAGGGGTTCCAAAATAAAAGAAGAAAAGATACAAAAGGAGTATAACCCAGAAGAAAATGAAATATTTTCATAAGAATTAACATGTCATTTTTCTAAATATAACACACCCCAATTATGTTTCCACAGGAAATGGCCAATGCTTTAGTTAAGAATGTGCACCAGCCTGCAGTTCTTCACTGAGGTAATCAACATCTCAAAGGAAACTCTTTGTCGTATTCTTGCACTAACTGCTTACAACTTAGAACTAGCCAGACAATATAGTTTATGACAGTAAATGTCCTTTTAATTCAGTTGAGTTGAGGCATCTGTAAATCAAAATATTTTATTTCAGCGAGATGCATTTGGAAAGATATTAAATTCTGCTCAATTTCCTCATGGAAAAGTCAGGCTCATTATATCCAGCTCACAGGGCGATTCTAATAGTTAAATCACATGTTGCATGTAGCACACTTAGCACAGTGAGTGGCAGATTGTGAGAAGAAATTCTTCATGTACTGCTTCTCCATCTCTTCCAAGGATGATGTTGCTGGCTAAGCACTTTCTAAAGATACCATAAAAAGGCACTGATTGGTAAAACTCATTGATCAATGCAAAGTTTCAGGCTCATGAAGCAACTGTCAGTCCTGCTATATCACTACCGCAGCAAATGATCTAGAACTTGCTTCAGTGTCTCCTTGTATACTAAAAGATAATCAGTAGTATATTCTGCATGCTACTTTGGGTTCTTTGATCAATTTGTCTTTGAAGTTTAGAAGTAGTCTACGGTAAGTTACATGAGGCTCCTAGTATGTGATCCCTTGCAATGCAATTGCAATAGGGGGCATTTGTCATAGAAGATATTATGTGTAGATCAGAAATTGAAGATTTTCCTCTGGGATGACCTGATACCTTCAAGCCTCTTAGACACACTTCCCCTGGAACTTTGGTACTATTACCAGGACAATGATGATTGATGATAATAGTTATTTTGTTATTCTTAATAACAGTACCTATATCATAGGGTTGGTGTGTGGATTTGATAAATTAACATGCAAAAGCCCTTACCTTGCCAAAAAAAAAGTTAGCTTTGTCATTACCAGGAAGAACACAGTGGTAGAGAATAATAAAGTTTATAAACATTTATTTATTTATTATGGCCAGAAAAGGGGTTTTGAGTTGTTTGTGCCCATTTCTACACTGGTAGGGAGAAGTCCCCAAGTTAAGTCAATTTAGTCTGACAAGCATCTCCTTACTATGGAGAGAGTTGTAATGGGTTTTATCAGCTGAGGTGGTGTTGTCATATCTCTAGATTGTTCTATTATTTTTTTCATTGAAAATATTTTATAGGGACTATTATCTGATATGCACTATCGAATCCCTTTGATGTAGCAATGAGAAAGATAAACAGTGACCTAGCATTCAAGGAGCTGAACGGAGCCTGTCTTCCAGCTTAGATGCCATCCAAAAACTTTCAGCTCTGCCCTTTTCACTACCTTCTTCATCCACTATCCCTAGAACCTGCCCAAAACTAACAGAAACATCCAGTTTCTGATCTCAATTCTTCCCAGTCAATCCAGTCTCAATTTAATTAAGAAATAATACTTATTTGCAGCATTAAATATGATAGTTCTAATCATGTCCTATTTGTCACCTTCCAAGCAGCAGCATGGGCTGGTTGGGGTACTTATGCAGATAAATTCATTTTAGTTGATAAATACTTCACCTACCAATCTATCGTGAGATTCAAAATGAAGCAAAGCTTATTTTCACTTATTTATTGGATCTGGGGTGGGGGAGATTCTCCTTTCCCTTAAAAAATTTCCTTTAAATTTGGTGAACTTTGAGCTAACAGGTTGATAGCTTTTCTTCTAACATTCATAACTTCTTAAACATAAAGGAAAAAAGGTGAATAAAATGGGATTGGAATTTCTGCAGCTAAAGCTTATAAAAGCTTGATGAACCAAAGTTTATTAAACATTTTTATTACTTTCCAAGTAATCTGTAGAGAGCACAATTCAAAATTAAATTACTTCCATCAGGATGTCAAACTAGAAATTCTCAGAGGCTACCTTGGTTAAAGCCTAGACTCATAAAGACACATACACTTTTACATACATTTTTATAGCTCCCTGTAAAGGAAAGAGTCTCAAATTTAAAACTTCCACAAATTATTATCAGTTTATATAAGTGTAAAAAGTCACAAGCAAAGAGAGGGAGAAAGAGTTCAGACATAAATATATATGTAAAATGTTTCAAGGAAGACAGAGCAAGCATGCAACATGTACTAGATCATTTTCATCTCTTCTTTCTGCCTGCTATTTATTTGTCTTCCTTGAATAAGAAATAACATCTTGAATGATAATAGTAATTGTTAAAATTAAAATTCAGTGGTCTGGGGATTTAGCTCAGTGGTTTTGCCGCCTGCAGCGCAAGCGCAAGGACCCAAGTTCGATCCCCGGTACCAAAAACAAAACAAAACCAAAAAAAAAAAAAACAAAGAATTAAAATTCTGTGGATAAAATATGAGGCCACAAAACCAATAGTATAGCTTGTATTGAACTAAATGGATCCCCACATTTTGGGAAAACTCATCGCAGTGCTCTGAAGGCATCAGAGAGCTGGCTCTGAGAGACACCAAGCAGCTATGATCCCAGAGAAAGGGAAGGTCATGAGATGCACTAAACTTCACCTCACAATTTTCCCGAGGGTATTTTCCAAACAAATTGTGCTGAAAGTGAAAGTAAGCCCAGAGGAAACCAGCTGTATTAAAGATCTGAAGAAAGAAACCGTAGGTTAGGAATGCCAAGGGACCTGGGATTTGAGGAGCAAACAATTGAAAAGAAAGGAGTCTGAGACAGCACTCAAAAATCTACCTCTCCCTTAAATTGTTCATCAACATCTGGGCGGTGCACACACAGCAGAGGCCCCCAAGAAATGTAGTAGAAAAGAGCAGACAGGTAACTAACATGAAGAGATTTCAGTAGCCAAATGACACTGTATAATTAGAGATTAGAATTCGAGATGGAGAGAATTTGCAAAACCCAGAGACTTGGGAAAAGGTACATCTTAAAATTGATGATCACATCCTACAATTGCCATAGTTGAGGGGCTAGGGTGTAGCTCAGTGGTGAAGTGCTTGCTGAGCATGGGGGAAGTCAAGTGTTCCATCCCCAGCACACTCAAAATAATAATAATGATAATGATAATGATAATAACAAAAATAGATCAGGCAGATCAAGTATTGATTAGATCAGGCCATTCACTGAAATTCTTCATAAATAAAAACTACAATTTAACAGACTTGGTAGGAACAAAAACCATCTGAACAATTATCAACTGTTAACTGAAAATTATAAAATGTGATTAAAAATAACAAGAGCAAAAAACCAAAAGAAGGAGAAAAAGAAGGAAAACAAAACAAAAAAGAAAAACTAAACCAACCTCTCAGGCCTCATCCACCAGGTCTTCCAGGAGGCAAACGGAGCCCATGACTTTAGCCTGAGTCCAAGCCTGCAAGCACGGTGTTCCACAGAGATTTACAAGACTTCCTGTGCTTGTGTATCACTTCCTGTGTCAGAGTATCACTTCCTATGTCTGCACATCAATTCTTGTACCTACCCACACATCCCAACTACACGTAGACTTCTGGGAATCTCCCTCTCCGTCTCTCTCTCCTTCCTTCCTTGGCTGTCATAAGATAAGGAGCTTTCATCTACCACGTATTTCTACCATGATGTTTCTGCCTTGCCACAGGCCTAAAAGCAGTGGAACCAGCTAACTACAAACTGAGACCTCTGACACCATAAAGCCAAACAAATCTTTCCTTATTAAATTGCTTCACTCAGGTATTTTGTCACAGTGACAGAAAGCTGAGCATCACAAACACAAGGAAGAAGGTCATGGTAAATGCAAGCAGAGACTGGAGTGAAGCAGCTATAAGCCATGAATGCTGGGGAGCGTTGGAGCCACCAGAAGCTATGAAGAGCCAAGGAAGGCTTACTTCTTCCTAGAGTTTTTACCTGGAGTATAGCCCTACTGCTACCTTGATTTCAGACTTTTAGCCACCAAATAAGTGATGGAATAAATTTCTGCTGTTTTAAACCATTTAGTTTGTGGGAATTTGTCATAGCAGCTCCAGGAAATGAATATATGCAAAACCACCCATTGATTACCTATTGTATTTTAGGATTAATAAACAAGGCTGAAGTTTAGAAAACATTTTAGAAATAAGTATTTGGCCATGTGTCTATTTGCTGTACACTACAGAAAGTGCTGGATAGAGAAGCTTGAGTTTAATCCTAGTCATCTGAAGAGACTGAAAATAGCCTAAACATACAAACATGAGGGAGACCTGGATATTGCAGTCTGACAGGTATACAGTTTGGGGGACCCTATCTCAGTAAAAGAATACAAAATTAGATATTAAAGAGAGCACTTATGAAAGACAGTAAAATAAAATACAACTGTTTAAAGGCTGACAATTACCATAAACTAAACCAATTCAAAATCTCCATAAGTTGTTAATGTTAGCAATCAACTGCCTAAAACAGCTCTGTATTTACGCTATGTTTTTGGCTGTACATTCTTTGATACATTCTTCATATGGTAATGATTTTTTAATATTTTAGCCAAAGAGGATAGGAAATTATCTAGACTTCAATATAGTTTATTGAAATCTATTTACTACTTGAAGTTCAAAAATTTTCCTTTCATTTTTCACATGCAATTCTTGAATTTCCCTATTTTTGAATTTTTGAATCCAACCAGTTTTTTAATTTTCTTTATTTCTTTTGGTACCTGGGATCAAAGCCATCCAATTTTTTATGCTGATGACTCTCGCTTGGAGTGAAGCCCTCAGAGAATTCTCTCCAGCTGTTTGACATGGCCGAATATGCTTGTCTCCAACACACACACACACACACACACACACCTCCTATAGCAGCTGGTCCAGTTCATCCAGGTTTCACCCATTTTCTTCCCCCCTTCAGTCTTGGGATCTGTGATGTCACAAAGCTACAAGGCTTAAATTTTAGTTCCCAGGCAGAGATGAGAATGAAGAATGGCTCACATCCTTCACTTTGAGGCTTAAGATAAGTCCAGATATTTGATTAGTTCCACCAGAGGGCCCCTGGAGGCCCACAAGTTTAATATTAGTGCTGAAATGGACCCTCTCACTCCACCCACAACCCAGGAACCCCACCAGGCCCTACAGAATGGCCTTTAAAATGGACAGCCCATTGCTGATGTACCACTGCAGCTGCGAATTCCACACAATCCTAAACGTGCAGTGTAGTGGAGCAGCATCTGAATTGGAGTCTCTTCAGGTTCACTTTGGCATAAAGCCTGGGCTAAGAGAGCCCCGTCTTGTCAGGATTTCACAATTCTAGAGGGCTGGATGAACAGAAGGTATGCTGACAACAAAGGCATCCATCTAGGAGGTTCACAGGTGTTTATTGGATGGACATGTTTGTTACAGTCAACAGAAAAAACATTAAATCCCAACTCAGGCTTCCACAAAACACAATTTTATTGGTTGTATCATGAGAGTACACAAAGCTAGAGCAAGCTTGCATGCAGTTCAGGGGGCTCTGCCTGTTCCCTGTCATTTTCTCAGCTTTGCCCTTGTCCAAGGCCTGGCTTTGAGCAGAGTCTAGCTTCCCTTTTGATCATAAGGCAGCTGCCCGAAGCAAAAGACATTATAAGTTCCCTCTTTCATGTCCAGGTGAAAAAGATTAGAAACATTCCACAAGCAACAAACAAGATTCTAAGATTTGTGCAGAAGTCTCACTATGAACAAGAGAGTAGCAGAGAGGTTTATACCTTGGTTGCATGTTCATTGCTAAAGCAATAAACTGCTGGAAATGATTTTGACTTGGGCCTAGAGCTGGCTGTGGGGACATTCCCACACAAATCCTTAATCTCCCACGTACTAAACAATGGGGAATGGCTACAATGGCTTTGGGTAGGCAAACAAAATGTCTATAATTATGGCAGATTTTCCTGTCTAATACCCCCGTAAAACCATGCAATCCTGGGATTCAGAGATAGTACTGACTTACCTCTGTATCTTCAGGTTTTACTTCATGGCTAGCATATAATTAGCATTTAGCAGTCATCTGAATGAATAAACAACTGCAAAAATAATTGACTCTCCTCAAGAAATGTATTTGCTGCTAACTATGCCTTTAATTCTTAAAGCACTCTACAATGTTAATAGTATTCGAAAAGCACCTTATTGCTCAATTCCACCTTGCATGGTTATACTTTTATCTATTACTTCCTGGGTCCTTCGCTTGATTTCAGCACATTACCAATTATTTTTAGAGCTGCCACTAACACAGACTTCAACTGCTGTCCTGTTTTCCCCTTGAGCTGTGAAGCAGTTGCCATGGAAACAGAATCCAACGCCTCTCTCTACAGGCCTCAGATCAATACAATTTGATGAGAGAAAGTAACACACTACCTCCGACCTATACTTTATAAGTCTGAAGATCTATTACCCGAAAAAAGATGCAAGTCATTACTGGAGGAAGGCATATTTGATGAAGCATAGGCTCGAAAGCTTGTCTGAGAGGATGTATCAGAGCTTTCATCTGGAAATAATCCCTTAATCAGAGTAAGAGAAAGGTTTTAATGCTCAAATTTCAAAATGTAAAGTCACAAGGCAGATTTTATGGAAAGATTGGAGGAAGTTTCGTTTTCATTGGGGCCACCCAACAGCACGAAGTCCCAAAGTTACATCCTTTCTCAGAGATCCAGAAGATCCCACCCTGATCCCAGCCTGCATGCAAACTGGGATTTGAGATCTCACCTAGGAAGAACAACGGGGATGCGGGAGAGGAGGCTCCTGCAGCCTGGGGGGGATCTCTGGAGACAGCTGCAGTTAGCTAGCGCGCCCTTAGCTTCTTCCACACCCGGCAGCTGAGGGAGGGCACAGGGTCCGCACGGGGACCCCTGGGGGCGCCCACATCAACTACAGATGAGGAGAAATGAGCCACTGAATTCTGCATCATCTTCATCCGGGCTTTTTAGAACTGATTTGTAAGAGGCTCACAGTGTGGACTCGGTGCTAAATTCTCCAATAGAACAAATGTTCATACACTAAACCTGGATTCTGACCTTATCAGCACGACGGGACGTTGTGTTTGGTGGCTGGACATGCTATGATTGAATTCGCTAGTGGGTCGTGAAAGGAGTGCACAGGTAGCACTATAGGTCTCTGAGGATCACAACCGTTAGACTGAGGGCGTGGTCTAGAAGAAGCCTGATGGGCGGAAGCACAGAAGGATGGGGCCACTGAGCCAGAGGGAGGGAGAGGCTGATTCCAGGGCCAGCTGCATGAACAGAAAGGCTGGTGCAGGGCATAGAAGCGCCGACACCAAGGGATCCTGGAAAGAGCGCTGAATCTAGAGCGCTGAATCTCACAGTCAGGGAACAGTGAGCTACTAGGTGAGAATAACGGCCAGAAAGGTACCTACGTGTCCAGACTGGAACGAGGTCAGAAAGCTGAGGTCAGAACCGGAAAAGTTAAATAAAAGGAAAATTTAAAAGATGGCACTAGGACTATAAAGCAACAATTCACATCTCACCCAGTAGATTTTGTTGCAGGAGCTTTTTCAGTATTTTATTTTATTTTTTTTTTTTTTTTGGTACTGGGGATCGTAAGTGCAGTATGTTAAACTGAGCAAGCAAAACTCTCGCTTTTGTTTTATTTTAATTATCTGTTTGGTTTGTAATCCTGTGTGTGTGTGTGTGTGCGCGCACACGCGCACGCTGGGGCTGGGAACCAGAGTTCCCAACATGCTAGGCAAGCACTCCACAACTGAGCCACACCCCTAGGCTACATTTTAAGGGCGGGCAACATCTTACAGGCCTCTTCTTAGCCTGCGTCTTCTCAGTGTCTGAATAAAACAGGAGACCATCCAGGAGCTAGACCGAGGCTAATTCTCCCATGTGTGCTGGGTGCCACGATTTTCCTCTTTGCTATAACCTAGTCATACATTGTAAGCTACCCCACTATTTTTCTGGAAGAGAAGTGGACAATGTTATTAATGGAGTGGGTTCCACTTACCACCAAGTTTGGAAGTGTTTTGCTCTGTAGAAACACACGTAGGCTTCCTAGGGCTGAATGGCCCACAGCAAAGCCAGACAGCAGCTGGCCCGTCCCTGGGACTCAGGGATATTCAAGGTTGCCAGCTTCTCTGCAGAGCCCTTCTTGGAGCGGTTTTCTTGCCTTCTTCATACCAGGCCTATTTCCAAGTGACTGGGTACAGATCTTGTTCTCTCTTGCTTAGATTTGGACAAAATTCCCAAACTCCACCCACACTTCCTTCTCCTACTTTTTGATCTGCACTACTGAAGTCACACCTCCACCGCCCACCCCACTGCCCTCCCTGCGCCCCTTCCTGCTTTCTTGCGCATTCTTGTTTTAGCCATTCTCCTGCACCCTTCACTCACTCCATTGTAGAATGGCCGGGAGGGGCACTCTGGCCTGAGCGAGGGAATCTCACAGAAGACAAGAGAGTGCGGAGCAGGCACGAGGCGTTGTAGAGCACTGTAAGACCTTTGGCTTTTACTTTTAGGAAAATGGGAGCCATCCGAGGGTTTTTAGCTGAGGAGCAGACATGGCCTAAAAGGGCCAAAACAGATCCCTGTGGGTCTTAGGTTAGGAACAGAGCACAAACGGGTCCAGAGTGAAACCCATCCTTGGGCCATCAAAACAATTCAGATGGACTCGAGGGAGGCCTGAGCCAGGGTGGTCAGTGCAGAAGTGGTAAAAGGGATCAGATCCAGAAACATATTTTAAAAGCCAAAGGAAAAGGATTTCCTGACAGGCTAAGACAGTGTTGCAGAGAAAGAAGGGAGGAAGACTGACTCTAAGGGTTTGGTTCTGTGTGCTGGTTAATCTTGTGAATTTGATTGATTGAGAGATGCCTAGTAGGTTAATGAGGGACACTTGTGTATGAGGGGTGTGCGACCTTGGAGTGTGACCTTTGGGACTCTATCTGGTCCCTGGCTCCTTTCCCTTGGGCTCTTCCCCTATACCCTCCCTCCCAAATGCACTAAAGTGAGTACCCTTCCCCCTACAGCCCCTTTTGCCTCGATGTTCTGCTGTAAAGCGAGGTAACCATGAATGGAATCCTCTGAAACAGTGA